TGCCTAGCTGCACTTAGATCGCACTTCCAAGGATCAATGTTTATTGATCCTGCTTCATTTTTGTTACTGGCTCATGATAGGGTTTCATGAAAACATGGATATTGATCTTTACAGTAGACATGTACAAATGTATTTAAATTATTGGTCAAGTGGGTAGTTGTTACGTTTATATCATGAAGGAGATAAAAGCCAATATTAATACTAGTATTAGTTAAGTCTCTGGAAGTGAGCTAAATGCTACTGTAACATCCATGGGACTGTTGGTGATGTCCAATACTGCAGCAAATCTCAGCCATAATGCCTTTGACTCAGTGAACACACACTCAGTGTCAGGCACTGCAGAGACCCTGGGGCTACAAGTGAGGGAGATGAAAATCTATGCTTCCTAAAAGTTTCTACTTTGTCTGCCACAGAGCTGATGCTGCCCTCTAGGAAAAGTTCTAGTGTGGGGTTATTTCTATAGACACAAGGACTTGTGCTGCTGGCTACTCTGAACAATGAGAAATGATTCCACGGCCCACACACATTCCAACATCCTGTTGACACCTGATGTAACTAATCTAAGTGACAAACCTATTTCTTTCTGAGCCTAGATCAGAACTCCATTTTATACATACACAATATTTTTTTGTGCATAATTATTATACATACTAAATTTTTCAGAAATTCAACAACATAAAACTTGATAGAAAATTGCACTTTGTTCTGTTTAAAACTCTACCAGTATTTGTTCACCATGTAGTAAATCTCAACACCAAAGCCAAGGCTGATCATCCCTTAGAGTCACCAGGACTGCACATGTGCCCCAGTCTTTGTTTGTAACAGTGTTCAAGGCAATTCTAGAAAAAGATGCTAGCATATCATTACTTCCTTATATCTTCCAGTGAAGTTTATTTTCTTATAAATTACTTTCCTTTTATTACTCTTTTATAGCATAGTTATGCCAGTATATTGATTTTTAAAAAATTATATGTGTAGGTAAAATATATGTACTCTGAATTTCATTTCAGGAGATCAGGGAGGTTGTTACAAAGGATTTATTATAGAAGTGCATGGAAGAAACCTGATATAATTGAGAACTACTGCCCTACAGGGTAAAGCATACAAATACACTGATAATGTTGGCATCTCTGCTCTACAGTAGCAGCATAAAGAACAGCCAAGCACCATGAGTCAATGCCTTGAATAATGCAAACAAATATTTATGTAAGATGATTCTAGTTCTCTTCAATATATTTCTCAGACTTCTTTTTTTTCCCCTTTGGCCACAAAGGAGAAGCTCAAGGAAAATAAAAATGCTATTTGTTAATGAGATGCTGAAGAAAATAATGCTTTTCACATAAAAGGGACATGTGGACAGGGAGCTGATGGTTACTAATAGGAAAACTCAGAAAGAAAGGGGATAGGACAGCAAAATTATTGAAGTGTGTGTGTAGTACCCCCTGGATCACCATTACCCTAGCTTTCTTTCTAAAACTAACTGGAGAAAACTTTTGGTGCAGAATGCTGACTGCCCCAGTCAGTGGAATTTGACAAGTGTGATTTTAGCCTAAGAAGTAAAATTATAAACCAAACGATAATTAGAAACTGGAGTGAAGGTTGCTAGGTGACCTAGGCCAGAAAGGTTGCTATGGAGAGGGATCAGGATTGTTTTGGATTAAGTACTTGTCAGATTTTCCTAGAAACTTCAGAGTATTTACTCTCTTAAAAAAAAAAAAAAAGAAAGAAAGAAACAAGGCTAGGCAAATACTTAAAACTTAACCACCACTTGGCGGAGGATAAAGGAAACCAAAATAAAGAAAAATAAAACAACAAAAAATCAGAAGGCTCAAGGGGCATTATCCTAAAGGAGAACAGAGAGATCAGGCAGCTTTCCTGAGAAAAAACACTTCCCCACATCCCTACACCCCACCCTGCCTCTCTAACTCCTGGTATTAGAACACTAATCTGGGCTTGGCACCTGTGGCTCAAGCAGCTAAGACACCAGTCACATACACCTAAGGTGGCGGGTTCGAATCCAGCCCCAGCCCGCTAAACAACAACGACAGCTGCAACCAAAAAATAGCCAGGCATTGCAGCCGGTGCCTGTGGTCCCAGCTTCTTGGGACGTGGAGGCAGGAGACTAGCTTGAGCCCAGGAGTTGGAGGTTGCTGTGAGCTGTGATGCCACAGTACTCTACCCAGGGGGACAGCTTAAGGCTCTGCTTTAAAAAAAAAAAAAAAAAAAGAACACTAATCTGGACCTTAGCTTTGATGGATGGATCTGATACTACATGATGGGAAGTTTCAGCCACCACTTAAAATCTAGGCCTAAGCCAGGATGCTCCCAGTGCCCAGGTAATTCATGGGTAATGGTGAAGTGACTTGGTGTTATCACTGTCTCCCCTTGAAGAGCAGGCTTCTGCCTAAATGACATGAATGAGGACACACCATCCACAATTTCCTCACTCTTTACCTTAGAATATCCTGGGCTCTCCTGGACAGAATCCAGAATTTGCTTCATAATTTTGCTTTCTCCTACTTCTTGGGTCCAAGACACCTTGATTTCATCTCCAACAATAGAACACTGTACCCTCTTTCAAGGTAATAGTAGATGGTCATCTCTCCCTCCAGTAAGTATCATGAGCATTTTGTTTACATAATTTACTTGACTCTAGATTGTCCTATAGGTCCCTATAAGCATAAGGCTGGAAGCTATTGTTACTATGAAGCAGGAACTTCATGTGGTTATCTTGGATGTATGCATGTCATATTACCATTCCATAGAAGAGAAAACTGAACTTGAAGAGAAAAGTAACTTGGCCATAGTTGTTTGCATATTTGGTCCAACTGATAACCACTACACTGCAACTTCCCTTATGAGGTTTTGAAGGGCAGGGTTTTTTATATTCCCAAGTCACTCAGTACTCCCTCTTCTGTAACTCCAATTATATACACAATTGCTTTTCAACATCTGCCTTCCCCATTAGGCTGTGAGGTCCATGGGAGAAAAGATAGAGTCTCTCTTATTTTTTACTCCATCCATAGTGCCCAGTGCCATTGCTGTACAAAGAACTAAATATCTGCAATGCTTCCAGTTCCTAGAACTGCATCTCGTGTTATGTGCAAGTACAAAGTGTCTATTTCCAATCAATTATGAAATAAAATCAGTCTAAAAACCAAAGAAAGGAAAAGCAGAACCTTTCCTACTTAAAATACTACTCATATACGGTGTTCAAGATACCGAAGAGAGATACATCTTCTCTTCTGATAAGGCTGCATCAACTAAAATTAGTATTATATACATACATATGTATCTATACAAATCACATACAAAAACATTCGTCTATGTATTATTTAGGAACACTTATTATTAGCAACATATCCTGAAATGTAAAAGCTTTTCCTGATATGTTTATTATTAATTTAATCTTTGCCAGGATAAAAATGTCTAATAAGAACAGTGTCCTCAGCCAAAAATAGAATGATTAAATTAAGAGTGGTGTATTCATTCAATGGCATACCATACAGCAAAGAAAATGGACTAATTATTGTACATGTGAGAGGAGAGATGACTATCACAACAGAACTTTGAAAGAAGTCAGATGCAAAGGAAGTGCATACATATTAAAGTTTATCTATATAAAGTTCAAATATTAACAAACCTCATCTACATGGTTCAGTTCGGAATATTGATTACTCTGCCCATGGAGAAAGTTTCTGGGATTCTGATAACGTACTTCTTGACCCGTGTGGTGATTAACACATACTCGCTTGGAGAAATATCATTAGACTTTTATAACTTGTACCATTTTCTGTGTGTCATGTTTTAGTAAAAGTTCACTTTTTGAAAGGTTCTCCATGGTACCTATTTTAGCGGAGATACATACACGTATGTATGTATATGTAAATTTTAAACATACTCCTATGTGGACTCCTGTTTGACCTTCCTTTTCTTTGGTGACATTGCTACTTATTTATTTATATGTTTGTGTATCCCAGGAACTAAGTGGAAGACGACCTAACTTTCCGTTCACTATTTGTGGGTTGGAGGCTGAAATTCAAACATTTACTCCAACACATCCAAAACACACATGTGGCTTAAATATGAATTTCCTTAGCCTTATGTGAATGCCTACTCATATCTTGATATATCCCACAATCTAGTGACATAAAAGAAACATCACATTGATCACAGAATAACTTACCTACAAATCTTATTAACTTGATTGATCAAAACCTCAACTGAAAAAAACTGGAAAGAGCTAAACTAAATTACAGAGATTCCTTTCTGTTCCAAATAACATTTTAAAACATTTTTAGTCCCATTTATTGGTGACTTTCAATGATTTAGATCTATTCTACAACAGAATTAACATTTCCCCACCAATGTTTTCCACATTATATTGAAGCTGAGAACTGTAATAGCCCATTTCAATAATAAAATTTTATTAAAATATATCGTACAGTTAGAAGGTATGTGGTGGGGGAGGGGGAGCTATCTTTTCTCTGGTGCCAATTATTCAAAATTATTCAAAATATTTGCATAAGTGAATCCAATGATCTATAATGTCATTTTCAACGCATCCAAATGGTATTCTAATAGTTTTTTAAAGACTGACATCTTCCTCCAAGTTACTTTGAATTTAAGGAACCACTTCATTGCCAATAATAATAAGTCCAAGTTCATTAAACAAAGGTAATATGAGCTACACGAGGGCGTTAATAATCTGAGATACAGGCAGTTAAAAAAAAAAAAGGTCAAGGTCTCTCTTTTCCTCTCTCTCGTTACTCGTTACTCCGTAAACTCGGCAGGAACTTTTCCGTGTAAAGGGACACCCCAGGGGAAGCACGGCAGAGCTTGAGAGTTTCCTGTTCCAACCTGACCCCAGACATCCTCTGGGAGAGAGCGCTAGTTGAGCTTCTCCCCATCAGTCCGCTGGGAGGTCGGGGGACCAGGTGGCAGGCGGCCTCCCCAGGCGCCCGGGCACCAGCGCCCGCGTCCCCGGCCCCGGGACTTACCACCAGCGCGCAGCACAGCAACTTGTTCATTGTGGTCCCCGGAAACCTCAGGAGCTTGGAGGCGGCGGTGGCGGCGGGGCGAGCACCACGGTGCGTCTCCGCAGCCCGTGCACTCGCACGTTATATATAGCGTCCCGGCAACAGGAAGTATCGCCAGCCTTTGATCAGTCATTTTTCTATCCTGGACCAAACCTACACCTTTTTTAGGAACCTTGGGCGGGAGCAGTTGGGGATGCAGCAAACTCCCAAATTAACGCTTTCAGCCCCAGGGCAGAGAGGTTCCCCCGAAGGGGCGGGGCGGGGATGTCTGGCCCGCGGGCCTGGGGGGTGGGAAGCCACCCGGCTGCGGAACAAGGCGGTCGCTGTCTCTGCCGGGCTCTGAGGTTTCCCGGCCCCTTCCCGCCAGCGGCCGGCCTCCTGGCAAGCGGGGCCAGCGGTGGGAGGGCTGGGCACACGCTGGGTAGCCGCTGCGCCTGTGCCTCCTCCACCCTGAGTGTCCGATTCAACCGAGATCCGGATGCAGCTGAAGTGGGTCCAGGAGGCTTTGTCCCCTCTCTGGGGGAGAAAGCTGTGAGTTTCCACCCTGCCCCGCTGTCTGACCCCTTCTCTGCAGGTTCTCCAATAACAAGGCCTCGCTTGTTTGCAACGCATTGTCTCAGAGGAGGAGGAGTATTGGGGAGTCTGCGATCGTTGGTCTGTACGTTTGTGTGACCCCTAGAGAAGGAACTTGTAAAAAATTCAGAATATTTCAGAATGTTGGGGTTTCACAGATTACTTTTGTACGGCTTGCTCAAACCTATGGGTGTGCCCCTCACCCAGTGTAGTCGTACCCTGTGGGTATGATTTCACACACACGCACACCCGCCCAATCTCTGTTGATTTTTACTTCTTTCCGCGCGCACGAGTGCTGTTTGGTTAGTTCCAATTTAATGAATAAATTCCGTTTGGATAAATCTGGAAGGAACTTTTTCCAACTCTTTTCTGGTAGACCATACTTTTCCCGGTTAACTCTGTGTTGTCTAGAGTAGTTAGAGTGAAATGGAGTCGGCAGAGTGAAAACTTCGCTGCCCCGCGCAGAAGATACTCGCAGGCCACCGTTTCCTCCACCGACACCACAGTGATCAAAGGGCTATTGGTAGCTCAGTGGTCCCCACACTCTGCTGGTGGAGTTGCCTCCTCACGGTCTTTCTACTGCCCCCAAGCTGTTGGCAGAAGTTTGGTTCTTTGCACAGAGGGTTCTTGTCTACTCCCTTCCTTCATCCCACCTGCAGCTTGTCTAGAAGTTGGACCTGACATCTTGTAAAGTGTATTCCTGTTTTGAGTCCCTGCATGCGGTTCGTGGATGAGAGTTCTCTTTACCACCAAACTCTCTGTTTACAGATGGCCGAGAAAGTGCCTGAGGAGCGCTTCTTCACAGGGGCCAAGGGTTGAGTTGGGTGTCTTTAAGGAAAGGCACATTCTGCTTTTTACCGGAGTTCACCAGGAGGAAAGAGGAAGCAAGGATCTCGCCAAGAGTGTTGAGAACATCTGCCCCATCACGCGGGCATCCTTTCCTGACAAATTCAAAAATGGATCAAAACACTTACAAGCAAAAAACACTTAGAAGAAAAGAACGTCAGCTATTCCACTCTGAATTACAGAAGACTGGGGTCTCATTCAGCTTTAAGAGCTGCAACATAACAGCACGATAGTTTCTTAAATGAACCAGCGAAGACCTGTGAGTGTAGATACCCCCTCATTTTTAAAGCTATAGTAGTTTTGACTCTACAACCTGAGATTCTGACATTGAACTTAACCATGAGACTTCTGTAAATCCAAATACTAGGAATAAAGCACTAGCAATATTATTGTTTTTAATAGAGTAATATATGTCTAGGAAAGCGTTTGAATTATCTCAAAACATAATATGATGCCAATATTCCTTCCTTCTCAAGGAAGTCAGACCTTGGAGAAAATAAGGGAAATTTTCAAGACTCAGTTTCCTCATTTGTAACATAAAAATAATATTGATATTACAGAAATGTATGAGGAAAAAATGGGAATATTCTAAATATGTAATACGAATGATGATAATTACCAGTTGCGAGCGTCAAAGTAATGAATGTAAAATAACTCAGCACAGTGTCTGGCCCATAAAAAATATTTTCTAAATCATCTTTATAACTGTTCTAGGGGAGTACCTAACATACTGGTCTTTGGAGCCAGACACATAGATTTGAGCCCCACATCCTAATTCTGTAAGCGTCGGACTTACCTAACCTATTCATTATTTTTTTGTCTCTATAATGAGAATAATCATCACATCTACCTTGTAGATTTACAAAGCTTATTATGAGAATTGAATTAGGTAAAACACATAAAGCACTCAAAATAGTGTCTAGCACATAGTAAGTACTCATTCAGTGTTAGTTATTATGGTTATCATCTGAGGTTCTCAGGAGGATATTTATCTGATATGAGCATAAGGTGAATCTAGATTATAAACTCCTGAGGGTAGGAACCATGTGTTTTCCTATGGTATTCCCTGAAGATTTTATAATAGCTCAACCTCTGGCTCCCTGTAATTACTGAATAAATAATAGAGTGATGGTGGTGATGGGAGCTGCTAATTAGCTGTAACCTTAAGACAGATTGGAGCATCATTTATCTAGAGTCACAGAATGGACTGTGTATTGACTATGTATCTCAGAGCCTGACTGTGGGCCCTTTATTAATCACCCACTGACAGGAAACTGACAGAGACCATGAGTTATTGGTCATTTCACTTGTTATTTTCCTGGAGCAATCTGGCTAATCCCCCAGGGTGTTCCCAAGTGATCCTCTATGAGGGGCAGCAGGCCCGGAACACTCTGAGCTGGAGTTCATCTGACGATTTAATTGGAATGGACCCAGGGATTCGGTCTGAACCCAAAGGGGAACATTTGAACGGTAACTTGCAGACTACATTCATCTTCCTGTGACAGATCTCTCATTGGCAGAGGCCATCAGTGACATTAAGCAGAGTGTCCCAGAAGTTCAACCTTCTGTTTTGGAGCAGCAGATATACGTGGTGATAACTTTCTAGGTGATGCCTCATCAGATAATCCTTCATTTTCTCCTTCTTAACCCCCTTTGAATTGGGCCCTACACCAAACACATTTTCACTGACCATATTTTGGGTTGCCCCTAAACAACATATCATCCACCCCCTACACACACACACTCCCTCTATTTCAGTCTTCCTAGACCTTGGAGAAATGCTGCCTGAATATCAGAAGCTCTCTCAAGGAAAACACTTCATCTATTTAACACAGCAGCACAACACCTGATCCAGAGGTTGTTTGTAATCATCATCACAATGGAAATATCTGGAACTCAGGGCAGCAATTGACTGAGGTGATCTGGGAGATGAGGCTTGCAGGCTCTGGGCTGACTGATCAAGTGTCTAAAGCATCTTGTGCCTAAGCCTTCTTACCTGAAAATTGAAAATACTATTTTGAGGTTATACATATGAAAGGATATTTATTTGAAGAACACAAAGATATTCTTTTGTTATTTCATTGTTATTAAAAAGAAGCTTTGTTCTTACAGGAACAGAGGGGAAGGAAGAGATATATTATGCAGATGGTCTATTGATTTTTTTATTGATTGATGTTTTCTAACTTCTTCATTTACAAACACAATTTTAACTGTGTTCACTCAGATAAAATCTATCTGACTTTACAGGCATTATAGACTATGTTTAGATATAGGTGTGTACCTGCCTTAACAAAATAAGGTACAGAAAGGCAAGGTTATCCGGCCCACATATTTTCTGATGGAATAAATCACCAGTTGTTTAAGGATCTGCCAGAAAGTATTAGACCAGGGGTCAGTCTACTTAGGGTTCCCCCCTTCAATGCCGTAGATATCCATTCATTAAAAGAGCCCTATCTTTGAAAATTAGTCTTAATTAGACAATCACACAAATATATAAATAGTAATACATATTCCATGGAAAGAAATAAGTTGCAAAGGGAGTGCCTGACCCTGTGTGACTTTTAACCAAAGCTCTGAAAACTGAGTTCATTCATGCAGGGTGAGCAAATCACAGAATGGTAGAGGGAGAGACTTTGAGCAGGAAGAACAGTGTGTCATAAGGCCTTCAGGCCGGAGGAAGCAACGTGCAAATCCAAGGAACTAGAAGAATCCCTGTCTGGCTACTGTGTGGAAACCAAGGCGTTACATGGATTGCAAGAGGCTGGAGAGGGAAGTGGACGGTGGTCAGGTTGCCAAGTATAATTGATTCCAATTTTCCTCCAAAGAACCATATAAAGAACTAGAGGCTTTTAAGCATAGGTGTGCATCTTAGTTTGGGCTGCTACAACAAAATGCCATAGACTGGGTGGATTTTAAGCAACATTTATTTCTCACAGTTCTGAAGTCAGAGTCCAGGCTACCGGTATGGTCAGGTTCTGGTAAGGGCCCTGTTCTGGCTTGCAGACTACTAACTTCTTGTAACCTCACAGGGCAGGAAAAGGGTAAGAGACTCTGGAGTCTTTTTTATAAAGGCACTAATCCCATTTATGAGGGCTTCACCCTCAAGACCTAATCACCACTCAAACCTCCTCATTTACTGCTGTCACAGTGTGTGGTGTGGTGGTTTTCAATATAGGGGATTTGAGGAAGACACAAACATTCAATCCATAGCACAATGATTATGACAGCTGCTATGGGGTATAATTCTCCTAATGTCGCCCTGCTAACCACTCAGTTTTATGCATCCAAACACAGATATGTAAGAGAAAACTCTCTTAAACTATAAATCAAAGTGAAATTGCTAACATTTATAGGTAGATTAGTTGGTAAATAAGGACTAATAAACTCAACAGACCATAGAAAGGAGTCTGTTGTTCTAATCAGCTCAAGGAAGAGACATAGCTAGTCACTTATAAAGTTTCCTCTGCATCTCTCCAGTCACTCCAACTGGAGCTTTCTAAAATGCAGACACCCTTCTAGTGCCTGCTGAGTCCCAAGAAATTGGTTCTTTAGTTAAACAGTGATGTATATCCCAAACAACCACTCACCAGAATGTTCTGAACAAATATTTATATCAACTGAGCATTACAGATCATTTGCATGCTCCTCCTCCAAAATCCTTGATGAAATTTGGGCTTCTATAGTATTAATTCAGAAATTCTCCTCTTCTCCCTACCCCCATGCAGTTTTTCTGCACCTGGCTAATAAAGACATGATAGATAAAAACACTCAGAATTGTTCCCTTGATAGTCTCTTAGGTGATTCTATTTGGGAAAGTCCCCTCCTTTAACTAAAACAACCATTTAGAAACAGAGGTTTTGATGAGATAGTTTTCAGGGAAACCAGCCTCCAAGAGTGAATTTCCTGAAACAAGGGTTTTTCTTTAAAGGCT